TATTGATTGACTATTGTGGTGCATGTGGTGCAATGATATTTATTCATTAAGGCGGGTTATTAGTCATTTTTGCAATGACCTTCAACCCCATAATGTTTTGAATATGAATAATACCATCGGTACTGACTTACATTTTTTATTTGTTGTTTTAAAAGTGTATTTTAAACCAGTGTTATTTAGTATCACTGAGATACTGTTACAGTGTTTGTGTTCCAGTGTTTACAGTTTTATATTTTCTGCTTTCATGTTCATTTTACTTAGTTTAGTCTTTTTTATTATTATTATTGTGTTTTTTTTTACAAATATCCATATATACTGTATGTGTATATATATATTATACTTTTTTTTTGTTATTTCAGGTTTTTATATTTTATTTTATTTAACAGTTATTTTAATTTCAAGTAGCACAAATGCTTTTTTATGGTTTTAGTTAACTATAATAACCCTGTTCCAAACTTACTACAGTGGAGTGGAAATCATGTAGTGCTTGATAGTTTTTATAGTAATAATAACTATTGGTACATTGCAAGGCTGTAATCATATATTTAGGATTGTAAGGAGGAAATAGTTGACCATTAATCTGAATATTAGGTCCCTCTTTGGTGGTTCCCAGTGGTCCTTTGGGCCTGATGACTTAAGTCCTGCTTTCCAAATGAAAATTATTGGGGGAAAATCTGAAATTTCCAGACACAAATGTCACAGTTTCCTGAGAACATCCTGGTCACTTTCTGTACTGACCGTAACATACGACTGTGTCAGAGGTCTTTGTGTGTTTCCAGAAATGTATGATGAAACTAGATATGCTCAGCAGCCCTTTCTAACGATGACTAACAGAAGATCAAGCAGTCAAGGACACACTGTTATACATATGCAATGTGATGCTCCAGCAGGACCTGCTGGCTTGATTTAGCTTCAGATGTATGCTTGTACATTTCCGTCCTCTAAGCCTCGTAAACGGGCTTTAAACCACACCTCAGTGCGCTGAGGACATAACCTTTAACGCAATCTGACCTGATAAACACTCACTTTTATTGCTTAGTCTTTTTACGAGAGCCGTTTGCCACAGCCGCACAGAAATTCTCAGGGTTTGACTGCAGAAAACACACTTTCCCAGTAGAAGACGTTACGGAGGTTCAGTCATTATCATTATGGGCTTGGACCAAATTGCTTTCGTTTTCTCATTTTGACTTCTTTCAATTTAATGCATCATTTAGTTGGATCCGCTATTTATATGAACATGTTGTGACTCCTGATAAAACAGCTTTGAGGATGAGTTGTTACTTGTCAAGAACATGAGCAGGTTATACTGTAGCTCACTCCAAAATTATTCCGTTTTTCTATTAATGTAAATTTTATTTAGGGCCATTAACCTTTTTTTTTTGTATTACAAACAATATGTAAACATGTGTTTAATTGTCATGAAAAGAATGTCAAAATGAAGTATTACATTTCACTCCAAAATCTGAAAAGAAACTGATTCAAATAAATATATAAATAAATTGTACATGTTTTTCATTAATGTTTATTTAATTTGATTTTTTTTTTGTATTATTCACGATAGATTACTATGATTACAATTTGTTGTTAAAAATGTGTTTGTTATGAAAATAATGTCAAAATACAGCACTCCAAAATCAAAATAAGTATTTTTTTAATAAACATGTTTCATTTATTTTAAAATAAATTAAATACAAATAAATGTTATTTACATTACATTAAATAAAAATTAAATACAAAAATTTTGTATTAGAGTTATGATGATGCATTACTATGACAACAATTTGTGGACGTTACGGAGGTTCAGTCATTATCATTATGGGCTTGGACCAAATTGCTTTCGTTTTCTCATTTTGACTTCTTTCAATTTAATGCATCATTTAGTTGGATCCGCTATTTATATGAACATGTTGTGACTCCTGATAAAACAGCTTTGAGGATGAGTTGTTACTTGTCAAGAACATGAGCAGGTTATACTGTAGCTCACTCTAAAATTATTCCGTTTTTCTATTAATGTAAATTTTATTTAGGGCCATTAACCTTTTTTTTTGTATTACAAACAATATGTAAACATGTGTTTAATTGTCATGAAAAGAATGTCAAAATGAAGTATTACATTTCACTCCAAAATCTGAAAAGAAACTGATTCAAATAAATATATAAATAAATAAATTGTACATGTTTTTCATTAATGTTTATTTAATTTGATTTTTTTTTGTATTATTCACGATAGATTACTATGATTACAATTTGTTGTTAAAAATGTGTTTGTTATGAAAATAATGTCAAAATACAGCACTCCAAAATCAAAATAAGTATTTTTTTAATAAACATGTTTCATTTATTTTAAAATAAATTAAATACAAATAAATGTTATTTACATTACATTAAATAAAAATTAAATACAAAAATTTTGTATTAGAGTTATGATGATGCATTACTATGACAACAATTTGTGACTAAAATATGTGTAATAGTAAAAAAAAAATCAAAATTAAGTGATTTTTTAAAATGAATGAATACATCATTTAATAATGAATGAATTAAAAATAAATTGTACATAAAAAGAAAGTAATATTCTGTATTATATGTGTTATGATGACAATTTGTGGTTAAAATGTGTTTAATTGGGATTTTTGAATTAATGAATGAATTTAAATAATGAACTAAAATTAACATGCAAATACATGTAAAAAATAATATTGTTTTGTATTAAAGCCATTATGCATTGATTACAAATTTGTGGTTAAAAATGTCAAATTAAAATAATTTCACAAAGCCAAAAATGTTAATGGTCCTAAAAGAAAGTCTTCATTTTTTATTGTAAAATAAACCTTTTAATTTCAGGGTGAAATATGACCTGGTGGACAGTAACTGTAGAAGACTACACCTCAGTCTATCCTCTTCCTCTTGATAGCCTGAAGATACTAATGATTAAAGTGTGCCGTTTAGAGACTATTCCCTCAGCCCTGTCAGTCAGTCTCTGGCTCTGCTTCATCTTTGTGTGTAAAAGCCCTCTAGACTCGCTCTTAAAGTGCGTTACGAGGCGGCTCCAGCTTTTAGCTCTGAAGACAGATGCTGCGTCCCAAGGCCAGGTGGTGTTGCTAGACACTTTAATTCTTTTAATGGTACGACCAACGTAGTATTATAAAAATCCAGTGGGTGTGTGAACGGTTAAATATAGGCATGTGTTTTTCTTTTTCTGTGCTTTTGTCCTTTATAACACCGAACAATTCCCTTCCTCTGAAAGGTCCTTCTCTGATCATATTGAGCCGGATTTATGACGGCAATTTGAATAAAATTGATAACCTTGATTAACGGAGCAATGTTCCAGCGTGAGATCAGATCAGATGCTATAAAAAGACTTGGCTGGCATTGTGATGCATGACGTAGTTATCCGTTCTGTCACACTGAGGCAGCGGCGACAGAGGGAACGATGCTTTCAGAAGCATTCACACGTTTTTCTCTTTCCCAAACGTAACCTTTCTCATTTTCTGCTCCTTATCTGTTCATTTCAGGTCCCATTAATCATCCCCATTGCATGACGAGATGAGTCTTCAATCTTTTTTCACAGAGAGAATGAAACAGCTGAAACACGTCCATTTAACTGACTTTTAAATCCCCAAAGTCTGGACTTTACTTGTTGATTAATAATTCATTCATATCCAAATCCAGATGCTTTTTACTGCACATTCAGTGTGGTCACATGCATTACGTGCATATTTTTTATAAGTATCTTAATAAGCTGACAGTGTAAACACTGAAACCTTTCTTGTCAAGTTGCATGAAAACTCATGTTTTTTTTTATTTTATTTGTTGTGTGCACTCAGTTTACATTTGATGTCTGCAGGATAAAATCCTCAGATTTGAGCTATTGTCGGTTTACTGATTTGATATTGATCCTATTTACTCATTTTTGATTATATTGTGAATGATTCTTCAGTGCACATTATTCACACACTTTTCACCATCTGGTTGATGAACACGGATGAATATTCTATTTCATTAACTGATTAGTAACAAAGGTTGCAAATGTAATCATACTGATTTTAAAATGTATGATTTATTTACTTTTTTTGTATATCATTTTTTTGTAATATGTTCTAAACATATATATATATGAGATTTATATTTTTTTAATATTTACACAATTTTACAAAAAAAAAAAATTTAAATACAAAGTAATTATGAATTGTTATAAAAGTTTAAATAAAAAAATAGTAACTATATAATATATATACATTTAGTCATTTACCAGACACTTTTATCCAAAGCGACTTACAAATGAAGCAATCAAAACCAACAAAAGGGCAATAATATGTAAGTGCTGAGACAAGTCTCGGTTAAGCAAGGTTTTTTAAAATAATAATAAATAAGAAGAAAAACAAGTAGATAGAATAGAAAAATAATAGGGAACGCTAGTGTTAGAGTGCCTTTTTTTAAAATAAAAATAAAACAAGTCAAAATAATAGAAAAAGAACAGTGGATGCTAGTGTTAGAGGGTCATTTTTTATAATAAATAAAAAGAAAACAAGAATATAGAACAGAAAAAGAATAGAGAATGCTAGTATCAGAGGCTCTCTCTCTCTTTTTTAAAAATAAGACAAATAGTAAGAATAGAAATAGAGAGTGCAAGTGTTTTTCCCCATAGAATTAGAATAGAGAGTGCATTTATTTATATATATACAGTATATATATATACACACACACACACACAAACACAATTTAACTTAAAATGTGCTCTATTTTTACATGAAATATTAAAATATAATTTTTTTTACAAATATTTTTAATACTAAAATGTATCCAATTACATATATACGCATATATATGCATATTTCTGAACTTTTGAATGATCATGAATTACTATTTTTGATGTTTGATCCATGAAAATATGAATCAATTTTATGATGCCAGTCTAGTAAAATTCCTTACACTAAATCCGTTGACGAATTTCTAAATATTGTGCTCATTTCCTGTGTTTTTTTTCTTTCTATTTCTAGGTTCCATCTTCCCAACGTACAAACCCTCGGACACAGTTTTCAAGATCACGTTTTGGCTGGGCTATTTCAACAGCTGCATCAACCCCATCATCTACCCCTGCTCCAGTCAGGAGTTTAAGAAAGCCTTCCTGAGCGTGTTGGGCGCCCGCTGCCTCCGCAAGAGATCCACGCCGTCCCACGCGCTCTACCAGAGCCACACTCCACGGCACGGCCAGTCTCAGATCCTCGGCCTGACGAGCCGTGACAACCCGTCCCGCCTGAGCCCGTCCTCCTCCATCGCTCTGTCCCGGAGCCCGTCCTCCCGGGACGGCCGGGAATGGCAGGCCCCTTCCCGGACGTCGTCGGCGGGGACGACCGGGGTCAGCGCCGGGGTGAGCGTGGGAGCCAAAGTGGCAGGAATGTGCGGTAAGAACCTGCTGAGGACATGCTGCTGCGTGAGAATGGATTCACCGCAGCCCGAGCCGCCCGCACACAACTCGCTTCCCGTCATCAAAATCCATCAGCTCTCGCTGTGTGAGGACGGGGACGCGGTGTGAATGAGTACGCTGGGGAAATTACTCAACACACGCTGGCTGTGATGCCACTTTGCCACTTGAAAGTGCCTCAGACTTGAGAACACAAACTGATGAAGAAAAGCGAGCTTTTGATTGAAACGATCAGCGATGGGAACATTGAAAGCTGCGGCGGCTCTGTTGATGCTTGATAAAGGCACAGATCAGCTTTACATGAAATCTCTGTCTTTATTTCCTCACTCTCATGTTGTTCTAAAGCTGTCAATGAACTGAAATGCAAAGGAGATTTTGCAGCTTCAACAGAGGGAAGTGCATTAACTTTAACCCTGAAAAGCATATGAAATAATAGTCAGAAAAATCAATTTTTTTTAAATGGAGCAGTTTGAACCTTTAGACAAAGCACAGATATAAAACAGTACATTTGTCTATAATTTTTTGTTATGGATCATATTTGCTACATTGGGCATTTATGGCTCATATAGTATGATAGGAGAATATGGAGCTCATACTCGAGGAGAAAAAACACCCCAATTTTATTCAGAGGCCCAAGCTGAGCAAAAACATGCAATTCAATGCAGCTCATATTTACAATGGCCAAAAAGATGAAATTCTGAAGTCTGTCATGTAAATCAACGGTAACTTTATAACAGTAAGTTATAAAGTTGTCACTTTATCTCCCAATGTCTTAGTAAGATGATATTTAATGCTTAGATTGATGATCAAAGCACTGTAATTTCAAAACCTATAATGCAGTGCAATACAATGATGATTGAGAGATCCTCAAAAGCCTGATTATCATATCTGATACTCACATTTCAACATGATTTTTCTAAAAAAAAAAAAAGATGTATGGATAATAAAGTAAACCTACTTCAGTCCAGTAAGTGTTCATCTTGAAATATTACTAAAAATACAAAAAGCTACTTCATAGAAATCAGTAAAGATTTCACCACAAAAAGCTGATTTCACGAGCTGAAGGAGGACGCCTTTTACTCGCTAAAAAGTTTAAACTATCAATCAGATGACAGAAGGCATGTAGACATCATTTAGAGGCCTTAGAAATTCATGCATCAAATATATTACTGTAGGCTTTAGGGTTAAACGCTGTCAATTCCTCAGACAAATCAATCACGTTCTTCAGATGTTGAATATAACGCACAATTCGTATAGACTATTTTATGCTGCTTTTATTGTATTTTTTGAGCTTGACAAACACAGTTGCTATGACCTCTCATTGTTTTATGTTTTTAGGTTTGGAATGACATGAGACATAATGACAGAAATGTCATTTTTGAGTGAACTATTCCTTTAAGAGGAGGATGTCCAGGATGTTTGCTTGGAAATTATGGTGGACATCATTCTGCATGGGTCTGTGATAATAAATACCAGCATTTGTTTTTTTAAATTGACAGCAGTTTATTTTAAAATGTCTAATGATTGTTATATTATATATGAGTGAATATTATATTTTTGACTGTTTGTTCTCCAGTTCATATCTTCTTTATTCAATCCTCAGAAATTGCACTACAGTTAATGGGCATGGGTTGTTTGCATTGAGCATGATTCAAAAACCCATTTCACCTGATGATTAATCGTGACGCACAAAAACCATATTGAACTGGGTATCGATCGTAAAAGTGTCTTTTTGATAACCCTGCATGGTCGCTTTATTATCTGTGTGTAAAAAAAGGATTCCACTTGAACATCAGATACAGCTTTCCATGTGTTTCACCGTGGGACCAACCATCACCCTTCCCATAAGTTGTGTTCCCATTACTATGACCTCGGAAATACACAAATTTCCATGTGATATTGATACTTGACCATAACAAAGAATATGTAATGACCTCAAAATGACCAACTTATGTGGCTTAAATGCCTTATAACAAGTGGCATTGTGTTTGTTTCTCAAATGACAGAAAACCATGTGATTCCAAAATGGAAATATCCAATAAAAAAATACTGCACCATAAGTGTATTGGGAATCGTTCTGGGATGCGTTTCCCAAACGCAACTGTGGTCGCAAGTTCCGTCGTTACTGATAGATTTCAATGGAACTAACTACCATAGTTAGCTAACAATGTTTTTGTTAAAAAAAAAAGTTAAAAAAAAGTTAAAAAAAAAAAAAAAAAAAAAAAAAAAAAAAAAAAAAA